TCACCACCGATTTTGGATCACTTGTTGTTCCCTTGTCCTGGGGTTTGTTAGCACCACTTCCTTTCCCCCTCCTCCCCCTCTCCCACGCCTAAACAGGGAACTTCTAATGGGACTGTCGCACGAGCAATCATAACAAGCTCAATACCCTTGCTTTAGTGCTTGTAACATTCCAGATATCATCTGTTATATCTACCTTCCCAAAGTCCCTAGCACAGCTAGCTCTCCGGCTGCTAAATTAAAGGTTGTCAGTTCAAGTCCAAAGACGCCAAGGAAGAAGAGTCTGGCAGTTGACATCCAAAAACCCAGCCCCAGAAAATCCTATTTCAACAAGTCAGAGCGGGCCTCATGGGCAGCTGTGCATCTTCCCTGTAAGACTGGCATCATGCTGAGCATTTATAGATGAGAGATGTTAAAGGACCGGACACAGCAAGCCAAGCACCCAGGGTCACACGGGACAGAGCAGAGTTCAGCTCAAGCTTGCTTGACATCAAAGCTGGGATCTCACTGCCACCGAGGTTTGCGTTAGGGTTGGGGTGTCTGATTTGTCCAAGACCATCATTACACTTTCTTCAAAGAGGTAACGCTGGTCAAAGCGAGGATTTTCTTCCCCACTGACCTTGTAACCTGTTGTGGAATGCAACAGACACTTCACCATCTGAATTCAGCCTCCATTTATCCACTCTGCAGCGGTAGAACAGCCTCCTACCAGGTGGCGGTGCTTTGACACACCTCAGCCTCACTCTGGGGCCGTCTTCTGAGCTGTTAGTAGAATTTCCAAGGAGAGCCCAGCTTCTCCAAAGTGGGATAGAGTCTTGCCAAGGGGCATAATGTTTAGGAGTATTCTTTGAAAAACACTAGACGGACTTGGGTCATCAGGGAGCTGTGCGTATTTGTGTGTGTGTGCGCGTGGGCACGTGGGCACCCGTGCATGTGGGCACACATGCATGTGCACAGATGGAGTTTATTTGCGCTGTGTGCATATGTGTGTGTTGTGCCTGTCGGTTGTAAGTGCATGTGTGCATGTGCGTATGCATGCGCTAAACGTGTGAGGGGAATACTACATGGTGTGTTTCACATTTCCTTGATCCAAACCAAGGCGTCCTGGTGGTGCCATCGTTAAACCTGTGACTGTTAGCTGAAAGGTCACCGGTTTGAACCAGCTGCTCTGTGGGAGAAAGATGTAGGCAGTCTGTTCCCCTAAAGATTCCAGCTTTGGGAACCCTATGGGCCAAGTCTACTTGGTCCCTCTCCGGTCATGACACAACTGATTGTAAAGCTTCATGGGAGGTTCATGGATAGCCGGCCCAAGATCGTAAGGCCTGTGTCTCCTCTCCCCTGACTTTGCGGTCAGAAAAGGAAGTGGCAGGCTGGTCCCAGGCAGAAAGCCCCATTTGGGGTCAGACAACTCTGAGCCTCAATGTCATGCAGTCCACTCTGGCCCATGGCAAGCCTATTTCCAGTTGGGCCATTTACAGCCCAAGTCTCTGACCCGTGTCCTCCTCAGCACCACAGGTGAATTGGCCCTCTCCACCACCCTCAGGCAGCTCGCAGAATAGAAGGGAGGAGGGTGCTTGGCCCTGGTCCAGAGTACGGGAAAACAGAGCATCTCATCACCCCCTCTCCCCTCCATCCTGCAAGAGTAAATACAGGACCGCTGATATGAGGGCCACCAGCATGATGGGGTGAGGGTCTTGGGAGTAGGGGACATCGTTGGGTGCTTAAGGTAAGGTGACCAAATTTAAAGCAGGACACCATTGACCGAGGGTGGGGGTGGGGTCTTGATTTAAAATTTGGTCCATATGGACCAAATAGACCATTCCCTAACTTGTCATGCATTCTTTTCAAACATTGGGACTTCTTTAAAACGCCAAAAAATCGGGACTGTCCCACCAAAAGCGGGACATCTGGTCACCTTAGAAGGGCCCCAGCGGCCCCATTCTCTGGACCCGGCTCAGCAGAGCCCCTCTGCATTCTACAACAGCGCTCACCTTCTCTCTCCCTCAGCAATGAGCCCTGGCGGCTGCTCTGAGCATCTCAACAGAGGCAGTCGTAGGTCCCAAACAGGATGTGTCTTTTAGTGATGCTTTATTTACACACTCAGTTCCGCACCGTCCAAGTGAGAGGTACACTGAGGCACGGGATGAGAACAAAATCAGGATGAAATAGGTGATGTCAGAGAAGGCTTTATTTTAGCAGAGAGAGGAGAGGGAGGGGTGCGGTGGGTGGGGGGAACTCCTGGGCATAGCCCTGTGGTCTAGCAAGTAGCCCAGGGCCTGGGGGTTTTTAAAGGAAAGCGGGGAGGGGGGCTGGTCCGTGCTGCAGCAGCAAGGTTTATGGCCCAGTAGCTGATCAACTCCACCAGGGAGCTCCCTGCTGAACAGGAAGAACCAGGAAGACCTGCCTCTGTTTGAAAACCATCTCAATGCCCTCCCAGTGGGAGGCCTGCAGCAGGAAGTGGGTGGGGCTCACACGCTAGAAGAACGTGCAGCTGCTTAGGGGCTTTTCAGAGGCCCAGAGGCAGCTGTGTCAGTAGGAACGAGAGCCCCCAAACAGCCCCTTGATGCACCCACCACGGACCACGAGGTCCACCAGGGCTCCAGGAATCAGGTATATGCCAGCCCACTTTAGCTTCTTTCTGCTCCAGGATCTTCCTCCCAGTTTTGCCTCTGTTTGGGGGTTGGGTTCCTTTTGACTCCCCTTTCTCCCTGCCCCCACTCCTTGGCTCTCCTGCCTTCTGGCCCTCACCTCTACCCACCCACTGCACCATGCTGCATTTCCCTGCAAAGCCTCTCAGCCGGCTGGGCCATCCTCCCTCCCTGTCTTCACAGGCTCCTTCTCTGCCAGGCGGCCCTCTCTATGGGCCTTCCTGAACTTACAGGGTGCTCTGTGAACACTTAGCGTTCCACAAAAGCAGGACTGAAGCCATCGGTGGATTTTGCTGAAAGTCTTTTCAAATACTATGTTCACCGTTATAAACACCCTGTTCTGGGAGAGGGCTGGGGAGGAGGCACTAACTTCCAGGAAGGGAGAGAAATCCTTTATCTCTTCCAAGCATATCTCCACTATGAACAGGAAGTGAAATGCAGGAGGTTCATTTCACTAGTGTGGCGGGACAATGAGAATGGACTGTGAGGACAGGGTAGTGATCAGGGCATATGCTCAGATTTTCATATTAAGTTAAAAAGGAGAGCCATCGCCACTATTGCCTGCCCCGGCACGGCCCGACACACAGTCACTAGTAACAGGGAGCCCCCTTCCATCCC